AACGCATTCGCCAGGAATCGAACCCCAGGCTTCTGGAATACGCGCCCAGCGTGCAGTCCACCACACCACGAAGGCATGCGAAGAAGGCGGGAGAAATACCTTATATACTCCCACTTTTTAAAGGCGACTGGGGTTTTTAGAGGACCCAATCGCCAAATCCTGGGTGGGGAGAATCATCATCCACCACCCTTTTAGTTCGGGCGCCATTGTAGAGATATTAGGTATTTTTTTAAATGGGGAGAAGTGGAAAGTATACAACGCCTTCGCCAGGAATTGAACCGCGGACCTCTGAAATACGCTCCTAACATGCAGACCACTACACCACGAAGGCACGTCAAGAAAGCGGGATAAATACCTTATATACCCTCCTTTTAAAGGGCGACTGGGGTTTTTAGTGGACACAATCGCCAAACCCTGACTGTAGAGAGTCATCATCCACCACCCTTTTATTTCGAACGCCACTGTATAGTAAATAGGTTATTTTTAAAGCAAAAGAGATGAAAAATAAGCAATGCCTTTGCCGGGAATCGAACCACGGACATCTGGATTACGCACTCAGCGTGCAGATCACCACACCAAGAAGCCGGGACAAATACCTAATACTGTTGGGTTATAGATTTCTCCTAATTTTGCTTTCTTATCGAGTGTTTGAGAGGGGTTTTAAGGTTAAACTGGAAATGTGTTCAAAAACTGTCCATCGCTTAGGAGAAGAAAATAAATTGTATAATTCTTAAATTGTCAGAAAAAAAATAACTGTATCTGCATTTACCTTTGCTGCATAGTTAATCATTAAATTTAAACTATGAACTTCACAAAAAAAATTAATTAATTAATTAATTAATTAATTAATTAATAAAACTCACGAGAATTTATTTTTAAGATATATTTTGAAGATCATTTTTTTTCCCATTTCATATTTGTGCCTTTGTAATATCTCTGGCCTCTCATATCATCAAGGGGAATGTTCCACATTTTCAACATTTCCATTACTGCTGCTCACATAGGCCGTTACCTGTAAAATCATCAACTTTAAAAACATGCTCCTTGATTTCTGCCACATCATCATTGCAGAGGACAAAACGTATGACGACACTCATGTGTTCAGTTTTGCTAATATCGGGAGTACAATCTAAAATTATTAGATAATACTTGGCTTTTCGAAGAGGTAGTAAGATTTTCTCTCCAATATTACTGCCAATAATTTGCAGCATTTTATTTTGACTATCTTTGCTTAGATAATAAACTTTACCTGTTGCTACATTTAGATAGCTACTCTTTATATGTGAAATTCCATAATTGGGTAGAACTTTGCAAACAATTCCACTAATTTTAAGATTCAGGGCTTAATTTCTAAGATGAGAAGTGCCAGAGCCCTATGGAAGACCGTCAGCAAAGAGGAACAAGAGTAAATAAATAAATAAAATGACTATTAAACTCATTAATAATGTAAAAATTAAATAGTTAATTATTATCAAATTAATTAATAGCTATTTAATTAATGTTTATAAATGGTCATTTAATCAATAATTATTATATAATTAATTAATTATAATTTAATTACAATTATTGAATAATTAATTATTATTTATTGAAATAATTAAACATTGAAGTAATTAAAATAATTAAAATTAAATAAAATGTAAAGAGATAAATTGAAATTTATATACGCGATTTTTAATATAATTTTATTGTTAAAAAAAATTTTCGAGATAAATTTCTACTGAAATTGTTATTCAATTACATAAAAGTAGTACCGCAACCTTCTTATTTAGGGCTCCGGTGCGTTTCCGGCTAGAATTATGATTTATTACAAAAATTAAGAAGCATCGGAGCCGGTAAGCCGGTCATGTTCCGGCCCATTTAAGCTCTGATCGTAGGGGGGGGAGTTCTTTTGTCATCATCAAAAATTCAACATATTTAAAATATAGCTGATGAAAATTCAGATAATACTAAAAAGAGGGGAAACTGAATGAGGGGCGTGAGAATATGAGTGGGTAGAAACAAAAAAAACTGAGAGGAATCTTGGTGAGAGCGAACGTTCTTCTTTGACCGCGGCTCTTTGCTGATATAACTATAGCCATCAGGCAGATGTATGTCGGGAGTAAAATGAGTCCAGAATTTGACTCCTAAGGATGAACGTAAAGTTGCTGGTTACTCTCCCCCCATTATGGGTACCGAGAGAAGACGATGTATAGGACGTGCTTGAGCAGTTTTATCTCAGTATTTCGCTCTTATTGTACTCCCTGTCACTTAACGCACATTTACCTTCCTGCAAGAATAACTAACTGCAAGCATCGATAACAATACACTAGATACGATGGCATGGCGAGAAATTTACGCGTTCCTAAACAAACTCCCCCAAATTTATTGCTTTTCTTAGAGGGAAAGGTTTCCGCATGTGAGTGAAGAGACTTTACTTGAACGTCTCATGTTCTCGTGGGTTCGTATTTCTAGGAAAATTGAGTATTGCAAAGTCAGCTTATTGTTAAACCAAAACGTTAGGAATTCTAATTTTTTTACCTTTAAATCGTGGTTCAGTTTTATAAAAAGAAGTACCGGAGCTCATCATTTTTAGGGCTCCGGTGCACTTCGGCTAAAATTGTAATTTATCTTTAAAATTGAGAAGCACCGGAGTTGGGTTCAGGTGGGCTCCGGCGCAATTTAAGCACTGGTTTCTGTTGTCTTTTAGGTACCGCACATCAGAGAAAATCTAAATTCTGGCTGCCAAGAAATTTTGTGATCTCAATCAGTCTTCCTAATACATTTGACGTTTTTTTCATTCATTTTTCATACATCTCTTGTATTTGGGGATTTATCTCTTGTATTTGGGGATTATATTTTTCAAATTTTTCTCAAGCTCTTTGCCTTTTAAAAAATTTTTCATATGTGCTCTACTGGTCTCATGCCTGTGCAAGGCTTGAAATACATTTATCCAATCATCATAGGCTTGGATTATTTTACGAGGCTACTACTGTCAATTGATGAAAATATCTTGCAACAGAAGTGAAAAACAGAATTTATACTTATGAAATATAACAGCCACGAACGGGGAGCTAATTCCATTTTTCTGTTGTAATATGTATCACTAAATTTACGTCCATTATTACTTTTCGGATACATTAAACCTTTCTTTTGAATAGGCCCCATTTCAGATAAAGTCATTGTCACTTTGTCGCTAAGAGTTGGCTACTTTTCAGGATTATCAAAATCAATATGACGAAAGGAATTTTCATTTATGCCAGTCTCGTCCATCGAATGATCTGAATAATCTTTAACTTCAGATTCATTTAATACTATGCTTGTATCATCACATTCTTTTGCATTAAAAAAGGATGATGATGATGATGCACAGTCTTCTGCTTTAAAAAAAATGAGCTCTGTGTCTTCGGCCGATCTCCGCCCCTCTCTTGGCTACAGTGCCCGCCTGCAAAGAAGGCCTTGCTAGCCCGCTTCCGCCGGCCCTGGCTGAGCTTCACCTTGAATGGAATTCTGAGGGTCTTCCGTTCCTCATCCACTACCACCAACTTCTTGAGAGAATTTATCATTTCTGTGTGTGTTGAGTGTCCCCTTACCACACAAGCACTATATGCTTTATGTACTACATGCACTATATCCAGGCCTTGTTTCAGAATTATTTATTGTAACATCTTATTGACACAGATAGACAGACAGAAGCAAATCTGGCACCTGTGGATACAGTTAGGCAGTTGCTATAGTTCGACCGCTTCATCCGCGACCATGAGCGCAAACACGCATGCGCTATTCGGACCAAATTATTCTCAAAATAGGGTGGAAGAATGGGGACTTTTTTTCCCTTCAGCATAGCTCTTTCCAGAGAAGAGAAGACCTTTCACATCGCAGTAAGTAATACCGGCCCTTTTGGAGGAGTCTATGTGTTTTGGCAGAATGCCAACCAGGGTTGCTCTTGAGTGCTAAGTTTCCGTCACGGATTGAATTCGGATGGACAGCATCCTAGGTTGTGGTCTGTTGAATAATTTGAAAGAAGAAAAGGCTAGAGGGCGCTGTTGGGAGAGAATAAAGTTTGTTTTTGTTGAAGGCGGCGGGCTAAGAATACGCTCTGTACAATGGTGAATTAAAATACTTTTAAAATTGTTAAACTGTTAAAATTAGTAAACCACTGAACCACCATCATCTGTTTAGAAATGTACAATATTAAATGGTGCATGCGGCGAAAATATAAGACTTTGAGAAGATTTTGTGTGTTCGATCTGAATGTTTCGATTCGGATTTAAACATGGAAAGTTCATATTCAAGAGGATTATTTGGAATTCCAAATAAAGATAGGGAAATCTTAAATTAATTATTTAGTAATTATTTGTAGTAAATTAATATATATTTATTATTGCTGTCGTGGGTGTATTTAAATAAAATGGAAAATAAGTTAGACAGATTGAAATTGAAACGTAAACGTTCCATATTGAGATCGTCTGTTACAAGGTTAATTAAAGTGATTGAAGATAAATTCAAAATTGAAGGGGAGGAAAATTATTGGGTGTGCCGAATTATTAGATGCCGGATCATCGGATTATCTCATTGTTACATTTTGCCGAAGGCAGCGACAGGGTGACAGACTTTCACGACAAATTTCTTGAAGAATTGTTTATGGCAACCTTTAGAAGTGAATGTTATTAATATATTTTCCGCAGCAAACCAGTTTTAATTACGCATTATTAACCAAGAAATTTCTATGTAATTTCCAAAAATGGCGGACGTGATCTACGATCAGATGGTGAGTCGCGGTTAATAATGCAGCATCAGGGCCAAAGTATCAGAAAGATACTTAAAATATCAAAATATTATTTTGCTTTTCAATACGATTTAAAAAACTCCATTTTACTATTTAGAAAAACATTTTATGAAATATCTATTGAACTGATAACTGAGCCTTATGTATAATATTTCAAGAATGTATTGTTCTTTTCTTCCAGTAGATGTCGCTATTGTTATTCTGCTAAAAAACTTGATTTAATTTCTAATGTAGCTATTAACATCATGTTACGAATGTCATAGCTGTAAGGCGGTCTGTGGTATTTGCAGTGGTTTTACTAATGGAAGATTATTTTAATTTTAATTTTGAATTGCTTTAAAAAATAAACTATTGCGCTTTTAAATTTGTGATGCTAGTCTTTAATAAAAGAATGTCCAGGAATTTGATGTAATTTCAACTGCAGTGTTTACATAGGATATACCAGTTCAAAATATGAGTTGGGGAACCGAGCTTTGGGTATGTTGTGTTACTTTTTTTTATCACAATTTATTAGCAGTATTATCGTATATATTGTGTTTTGTATTTCTGTACTTTTTCAACATTTATGAAATTCTGTTGAGGTCATTGATTGGTCATTGATTTTTCGGTTTTCATATTATGACGTATACGGTACAGATTGCTTTTCCATTTCTTTTGTAAATTAGGTTGAACTTCTTTTCTGAACCTTTTTTATTTATATGAGATTTTTTATAAATTTTTTTATTTCATTATTCGGTCGTAAGAGTTGTATTTTTTGTTGCCATACTTGATATAAAATAATTGAAACATGATAAAAGGTTCCTCCTTTACAGCTTCTCATATACCGCTATATTTAAATAATGCTAATAGATTCTCATGTTTAGATTGTATATATAAAATAGTACTTCTGTATGCATATTAACAAATACCATGGAAACTTAATTATCCAACCCTGTTAAACATCATTTTCCATTATTGCGACAAACTGGTAAAAATAATTTGTAGCTTTAAAATAGACCATATTGTACAATTAAATATGACACTTTTGTGATTGAGTTTACAATAAAATGCTAAAATACTGTTTTAAAGAATGCTGTACTGTTAGAATTTCACAGAACAATTTCTCATGCTGCAAATTCAATATATGTTCTTCATAAATAATTTAGTGAATGTGATGTGCCAGTGGAAAATTTCAACTGAAAATTCTGCTCGTTGACAACAATAATCAGAAAGGTTGTCTCTTTATAAAGATACTTGATATTTGTCCTCTTGTGGCTAAGAGAATGATTTTGAATTTATTTTAAATAGCAGTTCTTAACTATAAGCAAGCTAATGATGCAATCAGTTTCCAACTGTCTTTGAGTTATCCACACTGTGCAGAGTACTGTGCCTTAAATGGATCATTATTATCGAGAATCTGTGTGTAGTGGTGGTAGGAGGAGTTTTTATTATCCTCTGCTTATCTGTCATGAAGATGGTCCTGTGAATGGCAGTTAATTTATGTTCCACTGTAATACAAATTTTGGATACGATTCTGTTTATTAGCATATTTCTAAAATCAATTGTTTTCGTTCTAATTCATTAAAGAAAAGTTTATTAATAAATAAAGGTAAAATCCTAGTATACAGTACAGCCTTGGTGTCGTTTTGAAAATTGTCACCAACACAAAATGAATTGTTTAGTACTCGTCATAAATATCCCGTTTACTGCTTATTATAATGTCGCCAAATCCTATGTGTACCATATACTAGGATTAAGCATAAATAAATATAGAATTTTAGTAGTCTGATTTCCAGAATATTGAACCCTCCAATCAGCAAGGCCAAATATACGCTCGAAAATATTGACTCTCAAACTGGCAAGGCAACATATTATGCATTCAAATATTTTTATCCCTGTAACGGCAAGGCAGCATATGTACGGAAACCTGAATTTTGGCACAAAACTGCAAAGCAGCATATATGCAGCCTGTCTTGGAGTACCCTCCCCTCTCTGCTCTTAATTAAACTGACAGGTGATAAATTTTCCTATGCAGGAAGTAACTGATAAGAGGAAACTATTCGCTAGAGGCAAATGTTTTCTTTCATTAGGTTTTGAGGGTAAAAGTATATTTAAGGGTACCCGTTGACAGTACATGAATACCGAATTTGTGGAATTCTTTGACTTGCTGTTTTGGCTTTGTATGCCGCTACACAAAAACAAAATAACAACTCCTTATCCATGTACAAACAACTCGACACAAATTCGGTATCCATGTACACATTGACATATTTTCACTTAAAAAAAATCACAGAATTGCACAAACTCTTGATTTTATCCATGTGCATGTCGACCTATTTTCACTTAAAAAAATCAGAGAATCGCAGAAATCTGGCATTGTGCACTCCCTTGATTTTGTTCATGTACACATTGATATATTTTCACTTAAAAAGTCAGAGGTACCTAATTCTATAATAGAGGCAAACAAAAAATATATAATGTCAATAAACTGCATTTTAAACCAAACAATAAAATAACATAAGGAAAAACCTCTTATGCATCTAAGCACTACACAAAGCAAATATCCACTTACCTTATTTAGAAATTTCTTTGTCTTCAGTGTGTCGCACAAAATTCCTTAACAGGATCCAAATACTTCTTAAAATTATCTGAACTCGAATCTGTATATCAGCGTCACCACATAAATTCACAAAAATGAGAGTTGAAAATATCCTCCGTAGTTCCGGACTGTTCGGAAAATGGCTACTAAGTAAATCTTCGTTTACACACCAGCCAATTGATCCTCTTTCTCTCCTTTTGTTCCAAATCATAAGAAACTTCAAATTAATCTTACTACATTCAGCCATTCTACCGTCCAAACAACAAAACAAGGAATGTACTTCCTAACGACCACACCACAAGCCCTTACAAAACATCCCACAATTCAAAATTTACCGCAGTTCTGCAACCAATTATGTCATAATAAGGTTTTCCATAACATTCAGCTACTCAGGTTACCATAAATGAACCAACAACTTCGTGATAAATGAAACAACAACTTGGCGATAAATGAAACGATAACTTCACGATAATACAATGGGCACTCTTCAGTCTACTCTAACCGTTTTGAGTAACAACTCGGAAAAAAAATCTCATTTAAAACCTTTTATGACAGTTACAGTAAAATTAAATGTTTATGTACGAAAACAGAATTTTCATTTTCCAGCCTAATTACTCTCCAAATTGTAGGTCATAGTTTGACAAAATGCAATTACAATTAAAATGTAATAATGTAATTTCAATAATATTTTGAAATATGCTTTTCCAATTACTTTATAATTGTAATTAGACTATTCAATTACAATTAGAATATAACTACTTTTTAATTACAACAACAATGTATGTAATTGCATTATAATTCTGAAATCTAGTTACAATTACAATGCAATTGCCATTAGAGACATTATAATTATATAATCTAATTACAATTATGAATTTTATTGCAATTACAATTACATTAAAACTGTAATTTCAAATACATTATTATATTAGCTATTTACGATGTAATTTTAATTGGAATTGCAGTAGATAATCGTAACTATGTAATTAGGAAAGTAATTGCCCCTGATAATTGGAATTACATATCCTAGTGAAATCATGATTGTAATTGTAGTATGCAATTGAAATCACATTGTAATAACATTATGCAATTACTAAGTAATTAAAATTACAAAGTAACTGTTTTTAATTACAGGTTACATAATTTCTTAATCACTGCAATTGCACAATATAATTCCAATTATATAATCTAATTACAATTGCACTGTAACTGCAGTACGTAATTATAATTATATAATTAGGAAAGTAATTGCTTCTGATAAAGGCAGTTACGCAGACAAGGAAAAATCATGATCTTAACTGCAAATGTAACTGTAGTATGCAATTGAAAATGCACTGTAATTTTAACAATATTATGCAATTATTTTGTAATTACAATGTAACTAGTTTTAATTACAATTAAAATTTACGCAAATGCATATTAACCTTTTCACATGGGCTCAAAAAACAGTTGTGTTCCTTCACTGGGGGCTCTTCGCTCAGCGGTTAGGGAAAGGGGGGTAAAATTTTTCAGATCGAGTCTTAACGACGAGGTGATTAGTGCTCTTTTGTTGGCAGGCAGAGAAACGGTCTGCATTTCTTTTCGGTCCAGTTCCAAAGCTCTAGGCGATAGAATGAAGGAAGTATTCTAATCGCTTTCACACTGCAGATAGATGTATGCAGGGTTGATCTTTACATTATGGTAACTTGGCGTTTTTTTGGCGAAAATTTGGCGACCAACTCTCCTACAGCAACCCTCTATTTTTTTTCCCGCCGCCATTTTGTCTTCACGAAGTAAAGACATGTTTCTTTTTTTTTTATCTACTGAACACTTCTTCCAACAATCTACTAGCCGAATTACACTTATGCTAGAAATTTTATCTAACGAAACTGCTTAATCATGACAAATATTCACTGCAAAATTGGGAAAAAGTGCACAATACCATACTCCTTACGCGTTTTTCAAAATAACACATACACATAAACCATGTAAACGCCGACTTATTTTTACTTAAAAAAACATCCCAGAATTGCACAAAAATGGCATTGCGCACACTCTTCACTATATCCATGTACACTGCTTTTTTCTCATAAATTAGAAAAATTTCACGAAAATACATGACAATTTTCTCAATCTTTAAACCCGGTAAAAAGAACATATATGAAATTACCCGATCGCGAAAAAGTATTTATCCTTTCCAAATATGAACATTTCCACATATAAAATAAATAAAATATCCAAAAACTTTTACCTCTAAATCATCTATACATTATACACGTCACCAACGAATTCATACGGCAAGCATTACAAATACTTAGTATCAAATATTTAAATTATTTCCATGCACGTTTACTTAAACTTAAACGTATACCAAATTCCTACAAACATAAAATTCACAAATAACTATCATTTAATTAAAATATAATTAAATTCAAAAACTTACTTAAATATAAATGAGCACATACATTAAATTAATAAAAATTAACCTTACATCCTAATTACTTTAAACTAAATCATTGCTAATAACAATTTTCCCAATAATACCAAATTCCTTTACTTCCACCTTACATTTAGAACAATGCATAAAAATAATATCCTCAAATAATTAAAAATACTAACTTACCTAATCTTCTTCAGAATCTTGATTACGTGTCCGATAAACTTTTCTTTAGTTACGGCCATGGGATCCAAAAATTCACGAACACTGTTTCAGACAACACAGAATAAACCAAATACAAAATTTCCAGATTTTTCCCGATTTCCCCCCTTTTCCGATTAAAGAACCGTAATTCGTCCATTAATATCACATGACATATCCCATGATCTCTCATTTCCCTCACACAAAATAATGCGTAATCGGAACTGAGTACTGCTCACATTATTACCAAAGTCCCAGGTAGTAACCTTTATCGCCTCCAAA